GTTGTTTCCTTCTACCATATGGGCCCCAGAAATTGAACTCAGGTTTTCAGGCTTGGCAGCATTTACCTCTTGAGATATCTAATTAGTCCCCAGAATCGAGTCTAATATTCCCCCGACCCCTTATCTCCAATTTTATAAATTGGAGTATCCTCTTCTTTTGGCTAATTTGGCTAAGGATTTGTTAACCTTATGTTTTTCAAAGAATGCTCTTGTTTTAGTCTCTGTTCTGTGCTTTCAGTGTTCATGTCACTGATGTCTGCCCTCATCCTTATGATTTCTTTTAATCTAGTCCTTTTGGGGTTGTCATACTCTTATTTTTCTGTGACCTTGAGGTTCATCCTTATTTAGTTGAGAGCTCATGATTTTTTAATGTAAGCATTCATAGCTATACACTTTTTTCTTAGGAATATGTTTGCTATATCCCAAAGGTTTTAATAAATTGTCCATTAATTTTCATTGGAGTCTATTAATTTTTCAACTACTTCTTGATTTCTTAAGTTAAACATTGGTCATTCAAGAGTGTGTTGTTCAATCTACCAGTATTTGTATTGTTTCTGTGTTTTCTTTTGCTATTGATTTCTGCTTTTATCCACTATAATCTGACAGGATATAACAAATTGCTTCAATATTTTTATGTAGATTTTTGAGACAAAATCTCATGAATCTCAGGCTGGCCTCAAAGTTGCTATGTAGCTAAGAATGATCTTTAATTCCTGATCTTCCAGCCTCCACCTGTTGAATGCTAGAATTTCAGGTATGGATGACCATACCTAGTTTATGTGCCATTAGTGGTCAAACCCGGGGCTTTATGTGTGTGTGCTAGGCAAGTACTCTACCAGCTGAGCTCCATCCCTAGCACCAATACTTTTACATTTTAAACATTTGCTTCATGGTCTAAAATATGATCTATTTTACAAAACATTCTAAAACTATTGGATGAAGTATTCTATAAATATCTGCTAAGTGCACATTGTCTGAAGTTTCTTTGTTGACTTCTAGTCTGAATGGTATTGATGAGAGTGTGGTGCTAAAGTCAAGGCCCACCTGTCCTTTTATATCCATTGATGTTTATTTTACAGAACGAGAAGCCCCTATATTTGGGGCAAATGTACTTACAAACATTATATCTTTTGAATGGTTTCTTTATCAGTTCAGATTAACTTTTGTTTGAAGTCTACTAAAGCAGTTATCAGAACAGCTGCACTGGCCTGTCTTTAATTTTTGTTTTCTTGATAAACCTCCATTCTTTCACTCTATTATTGTCTCACCATTGATGTGTGTTTCTTGGAGACAACAGAAGTTGGATCTTGTCTTTTAATCCATTAAGGAAGTCTGAATCTTTTAAATTAGAGAGTTAAGACCATCTTTATTAATGGTTATCACTGAGAGAGGTTTGCTAAAACTTGTAACTTAGTTAACTTTTCTGGTTAGTTGGGTGATTGTTTATGTTTTTCTTTCTTCTCTATTCATATTAGTGGTTTACTGGCATACAGTGTTGAACATGACGAATTCCTTCTTATTTCTCTTGGTTTCAACTTTTCCTCTCATGAAATTTATTATTTCCTATGCTCTCAATTGAGAATGTCTTTTTTCCTCCTCTGTACACAGTATTCATTTAAGCATCTCTTTTAGTGTTGTCTTGGTAGTTACCAGCTGCCCTAGTGGTGCTTGTCTTGAAATGTCCTTATTTCATTGTTATTTTTATAGATACCTTTGCTGGATAGAATGGTCCTGGTTGGCAGTTCCTTACTTTCAGGAACTCCTAGGGCTTCTGTTGAGAGGTCTCATGTTATCCTGATGAGTTTGCCTTTGTAGATGGGTTAGGGATTTTTTTTCTCTAACAGCTTTTAATACTCTTTTTTGTCCTTTTGGTGTGTTGAGTGTAACATTTTGTGGAAAGGTTATTTGGCCATGTCTATTAGAAGTTATAAATGCCTCTTGCGCTTAGATATCTATTTCTTTCCTAGATTTGAGGTAATTTCTCCTGAAATTTTATGAATTAGATGCCTCCATGCCTTTGGTTTTTAATTTCAGCTTTTTTATTCTATGAATGCTTACTTAGGTCTGAACTTCTGATTATATTCCAGGGTTCTTAGGTGTAGCAGTCATGTTCACACATTTATGGGTGAGTGTACCTGTGCATGTGCTCAGAACCCAGAGAAGAAAATTGGGTGTTCTTCTCTATCACTCTCTGCCTTATTCCTTGAAGAAAGGGTCTTGCATTGAACTGGAGCCAGGCTGATGGCCAGCATGCCCCAGAAATCTTCACGTCTCTCCACTCCACAGCACTGCATTGCATTCGTGTGCATGGTCACACCTGGCTTTTTTTTTTTTTTTTTTTTTTGGTTTTTCGAGACAGGGTTTCTCTGTGTAGCTTTGCGCCTTTCCTGGAACTCACTTGGTAGTCCAGGCTGGCCTCGAACTCACAGAGATCCGCCTGGCTCTGCCTCCCGAGTGCTGGGATTAAAGGCGTGCGCCACCACCGCCCGGCTGACACCTGGCTTTTGACATGGGTGCTAGGATCTACATTTAGTTCTTCCTGCTCAGGTAGCGAATGCTCTTACTCATCATGTCATCTCTCTAGTCTGAGTTTTTTCTAAAGCTGATATTTGAATGTAAATATTTTCTTTACTTTGTCTTCCACCCCTGATAGTCTTCCATCTAATCTATTGTCCTTTCCACTGGGTTTTTTTTAATTAGCTGAGTTTTTCTTTCATACATTCCCACCCATCTTACTTTTCACATTGAATTTCTCTTCAACATTGCAGATTTTCCCTCCTGTATTGCTGATTTTCTCATCCACTTTGAGACTTTTTAGGTCTGAGTTGGTCTCCTTACTTCATTCATCTCTTTACTTGTATCCTCTTTGAGGTCACTGATTATTTTTACAAGGAAATTTGGAATTCTTTATCCAATACTTTACCCATTCCAGGATCTTTGAATTCAGCAGTAGCAACATTTTAGGCTTCTCGTGCTTCCCTGTTACCATTTATTTGTCTATTGCTTGGGATGCCTCTTCTGATTTTATTTGGGATTCTTTCAAGCCTCAGAACAGAGAAAGCCAATTGCTTAGAATAGCAGCAGTGCGAACGTGAACAGGAAATGGAAGTGCACCTTAGATTAACGAGAGGTCACTCACATACCACCCAACAGACTGCCAGTTACCATAGGACGGAGAGTGGCAAAAATCCCCAAGAATGTGCTATGTAGTCAAAATTATGTAAAATTAGTATAAATGTAGAAATAGTTAATGAATGATATAAAGGGAGGGCCAGTGAAAGGGACAGTGGAGAAGCGGAGTTGAATAAAGGACAAAGAAGAATAGAAAAGGAAGCATGAAATTATGAAGGAAGCATGGAAAGCGAAGAAATAAACATTTTTTAGGGGTGAAAGAGATGGAACATTTGATCAGGTGCTTGTCTGAAAAATGTGAGTTTAGAGCCAGTAAAACCTGGGTGTGGTGGGCTGCATCTGTAACCCCAACCCTGGGGCGGCAGAGAGAGGAGGATCCTTTGACCTCACTGGTAACTCCATCTCAAAACTTAAGGTATGGGGTGATTTAGGAAGACACCAGATGTCACCCTCCACCCTCCACACACATAGGCACACACGGTCATGTGTAGCCCCACCCCCCACAAACACGTACACACACACTTTTAATTGAAAGATTGCCCAATAATGAAAACTGGATAAACAAAATTAGATCAATGTAAGAGAGGAAACAACAGCAAAAGCATAAGTGCTCTTAAGAATCAGATGAAGTCAAACATTACTAAAAGTGTAGTAAACTACAGAGGCACAAAGGCAAAAAAGGAAGAGTTTGCTTAATAATGAAAACTATATGAAGAAAATCAGAAGACTATCCAAAGAGGTTAATTTAAAAAGAAGAAAGGAAGTTGAAATCACCTCTTCTCTTTTATCCTGATTCTTCTCATCATACAGAGGCAGCTTCCAACCCGCCATTTCACTTTATCATGCCATTTCTCAATTTCTTTTAACATTTATGCTGTTATCCTTAGTTGATTTGTATTTTTTCTACCACACAAAAACTGTAATGTCTATTCTTATCCATGTTTCCATGTGCACAGGGTTGAAAGCTGTTCCAGGGAACATGTCCAGAAGTGGTTCTCATTTGCAGAGATCCTCTGAAAGAACCCAGTGAGCGGGTACTGTGTTCAGGAGTGCATAAAAACAGTGCACTCCCTCTGTCCATCTCCATGTACTCCCCCTGTGTGGACATCACCTGAGGATGTTGTCAGCCAGTTAGAGTTTACCAGTCTTAAAAGCCCACCATAGTTCATGATTGTTATGAAGGGGGTCTCAGGGAGACTTCAAGGGTGATTCTATCCTGGGAACCTCAGAACATGATCTTCTGACCCTGCCGTGTCCCTGAATGGAATACAATCTTGCTTTCCTCAAATCTCTGGAGTCTTGTCTATACGGACTTAACACATTTTCTTACATATATGCTAGCATATGTCTACTATCTATGACTGTCTTTGGGGTAAAGATAACTATGTAGCACCATCGCTAAGACAGAGGAATCCGGAGCCAGACAACCAGAGTTAAATCCTGTGTCTTCTGCCCAACAGTGTGTGACCTTGACTGAGTCCCAAATCTCTCTGTGTCTCAATACTCACAGCAAGGGGGAGAAAATAAGTTAAAACATGGAATAATTAGAGTAATAAATGGCATATTTTAAGCACCATGTAAATGTTAGCCCTTCTAGTCTCTTCATTCCAACCAGCATCAGAATTCCCCAAGCCTTCATTTCCTGTAAGGAGACAAGCATGTGATATATGCATTGTATTCTCTTCTCTGGGCCAGTCTCTCACATCTACAGGAGTCACACTCTGGACTGGAGTCAGCATGGGAGGGAGTGCTGTTTCTGTTCATGTTAGTGAATGATAGCGAATGAACTGACATGAGCCCTCTCTCAAAAGCATGTTAATCTAAGAGGTGGCAGTAGGTCTTAAGTGAATTCTCTTTTAAATTTCCAGTTCTTCCTCCTCAACCAGAAAACATCAAGATCTCCAACATCACTGACTCCACAGCTATGGTTTCTTGGACAATAGTGGACGGCTATTCGATTTCCTCCATTATCATCCGCTATAAGGTTCAGGGCAAAAATGAAGACCAGCACATTGACGTGAAGATCAAGAATGTCACCATCACTCAGTACCAGCTCAAGGGCCTAGAGCCAGAGACTACATACCAGGTGGATATTTTTGCTGAGAATAACATAGGCTCAAGCAACCCAGCCTTTTCTCATGAACTGATGACGCTTCCACAGTCCCAAGGTTGGTAGTAGACTGATATCTCATGGGGTACTTTTAGACAGAATCAGAGAATCCTGTCTTGAGATGTTTACTCCATATGTCTGTCATCATTCATTTATCCTAATAAGCTTTATCATCACTATATAATCCTTAAAATAAAATGTCTTGAGAAGGATCTCTACTGATCCATTTTCTGTTATTAAACTTAGAATTAATTAACCTCAAAGCATATCCCATCCAACAGTCTAAGAAAAATGTGAATAATATAAATTTCAATTTTGTGGAGAAAGAGGAATGCAGAATTTGCTTATGGGAAGCAGCTGCGTGGATACTTCAGTAGTAAGGGTTCCCTGCTATTCATTTTTTCTTGAGATGGATTCTTCTTTGATTTTCAATGACATTATGCTATTCTGAGTTTTCTTCTCCTTTTTTTTTTTGGTCTAATCTAAATCTAAAATAGTTGTAGGTACTAAATGTAAGCTAACTAAACTATTTGGACTATAGCTCTCTGAGATGGCTTGAGGCCCTCCCATAATGCCAAGTGCACTATGGCCACTGTTTGCAACTGGTAAAACCTATTGAATATAATTGCATGTTCTGGGGCTCAGCATCAATGTAGCCACGGCATGAAAACAGACTTCTCATCTGTGCAAACGGTGCCATATGACATTCTTCACTGACCTATACATGCAGAGGAATGTAGTCAGAGGTATCACAGGGAAAGGCAATGGTATACATTTGTAATTTGGGCTACATTTTACTTTTACGGAAGATATTATAGTTCTTAACTCTGTGGTCAGGGTCATATGTGGTTTTAAAATACAATAAAAGAAGCTACATAGTCACTGATTGTTGGGGGATGTCTTTCTGTATGCTGATGATTCTGGAATATCTTTTGAAATATCCAAGAAATGATGCATCCACCAAATTATGGATGGAAAATGTAGTTCTTCAATTTCGCTCTTTATCAGTGCTCATTTTTTATAAGTATTGTAGTTTGGTAAAGATATACAAAGGTTCTAGATGCAAGCTACGTATAAGAACGCAATGTGAACAATTTTAAACCAAGACGCAAGACCAAGCCCCTCACCACTCAGTGTTTCTATGATCAATACTGTGGGAGGCCGTTTTCAGGTTCCTTGTGGCTTTACCCAGCAGGTCTGCATAGAGAGGCTGATTGGACCACGGGCCAGAGTGCAGGTGTCTGTGATGGTTTGCACTTGGCTGTGCTGGGGGAGGAGGTCTTTTGCTCTATCCCTTGGCGTTTCTATAAATACCCTGGGGCAGAGATAGTCGGGGCTCATTGGAATAGGTTCCAGGTCCTCTTGAGGCTATCCTTTATTTTCTATTTGTTTATCTCTACACTCTAAATCCTTCTATCTAATATTTTCTGCTGCTCGCACTCAAGAAAACTGGGGAACTGTGGGGTTAGTGGGTAAATGCCCCACACAATACATAGAAGGAAAGATATAGAGTACTTTTAAGAAGTGGAATCATGGATAGTGGTGGTGCACCCCTTTAATCCCAGCACTTGGGAGGCAGAAGCAAGCAGATCTCCAGGAGTTGGAGGCCAGCCTGGTCTACAAAGCAGGTTCCAGGACAGCCAGAGCTACACAAAGAAACCATGTCTCAAAAACAAAACAAAACAAAACAACAAAAAAGAAGTGGGTTCATAATCCGTGTAGTGATTAATTGAAACATACCAAGTTTAATCTCATTGGGACATAAAGGAAAGATGTAGAAAGATTTAAAACAATCTTAAATGGATTATTTTGACATAAGGCCTGAATGTAAAGCTTTAAATTTTACTTTCTTGTTCTTTCCTAACTTCTGCCTTCAATAATCACCAGGTTTTCTCCACCCACTCTTTAAAAAAAGGGAAAATACAGAACAAGACAATATGTCCTATGGGCACTATGTCCCTATGTTGGCATCAGGACAGAGTTAAAGAGTTTCTAGAGAAACTGAGCTATGATTCACTAAAATTTAAACAACTAAATAGTGTTCATCTACATGGGCCCCTACTTGGAAGTAAAGTTTAACAAATGACATCAACAAATAGCCACTTTGAAAGCACATTTGTCAATCCTAGAGGTCTCGTAACAACCCTGTGAGTTAGACTCACTTCTACTGAGTTTAGAAATAACTGAGTATACCACAGGAAGCAGGTGGCAGGGCTGGGTGGTTATGTTCCCATGACACTGAGTCTTTCCCAAATGATAGTTTTGGCCCATCATCCACCTAAACTAACTCAGCTGCCTCACCTCTGCTTCCCTGCAGTCTCTGCAGACTTTGGAGGGGGAAAGATGCTGCTCATAGCCATCCTTGGGTCAGCTGGAATGACCTGCCTCACGGTGCTGTTGGCCTTCCTGATTATGTTGCAACTGAAGAGAGCAAATGTCCAAAGAAGAATGGCTCAGGCCTTCCAGAACGTGGTAGTATCTCACCTTTTTACTAGCTAATAAGCACAGGGCTACAGAGAGGGAGATCTTTGCTTTGAAGGTGTAGAGCAGCCAATAGCCCTATAGGCACGTTTCATTCTTTTCTTCCATCATACAATGGGAGGCAAATAGCAAGACTATGAAATTTCTTGTCCAAACCAGATGGGATTTGCAAGTGAAAAAGATACGCTTAATAAATACACAGAGGACTAAGACTAAAACAGGACTCCTCCCCAAAACGTGATAAGTCGATTGCCGGACAGCGTATTTCAGTAGGATGAATTACACATTTTCTGATAAAGGGCATGAGGAAAACCAGACCACAACATAATAGTTCATTTCCTAATTATGTGTGGCATTAAATGATTTTCCACATTTTCCCATTCTTAGTTTCCATTTCCTATTTCTCATCGCTCCCTCAATCCCATCACCCACTCCTATGTGTGAGAGTTATGTATGCATGTACTTTTTTTTCCCCTACAAACAATCTGTGGTCAGCATTTGTGCCACATGACATTGCACTTGACCAGCAGTCCTTTTGGAACACTAAAGCCCTGGGCATTTCCGAAGCTTATAGCTTCAAGGTCTGTAGAATAAATTTGTGCCCAATGCTGTTGATTTTGTATATGAAACACTGAACACAATGCCGTGCTTCTGATGAAATCTAACTCTTGTGTCTGAGTCCTCAAGATTCTCTTCCATGGAGGACAGAGGGAGTTCATTGTCTGATTCCATGCCAGAGCTGGTTCAACTCACAGTTACTGGAAAGGAAGGATGGGGGAGTGTGGTGATCTATTGGGGCAGGGCACTTTGAAGCTTTTCATGGTATCAGTGATCTGTCAAGAGACTGCTAGTTGCCACTTGAATTCAGGAGAACAAGGGCTGTGCTGGGTTTTGCTATAAGCACCAGTCATTCTGGGCTATGGTAGGCTCTACAATTTAAACTTGAGGATGAGAGAGCATGGGATAGTAGCAAGGAGAGACCAGGTCCAAGATGACATTGGGAAGAGCCTTACTAAGGCATGCCCTGTGACTGCCATGAGTTCCTTCTCCACTAGAACTACAAACTGATCTCTGCACAGCAGAGTGGGACGCAGACATGTCACCTATGGTGTCACCTCTCCTTCCTCGGCTTTGCAGGCACTGCTAATGGGCATGCTGCCACACACACAGCACTATAAGCAGCCGTTTCATCCGCATGGGCTTGTAAGACGGAACTCATTGCATCCCCATTCTAGGGTTAGATCTATGATTTATTTGCCACCTGGGTAGACACAAGCCAGAAGACATGATGCACCTTAGGATAACAAATGTCCTGAAAACAAACATGATAAGAAAAATATATATTTTTCCAGAGAGAAGAACCAGCTGTGCAGTTCAACTCAGGAACTCTGGCCCTAAACAGGAAGGCCAAAAACAACCCGGATCCCACAATTTATCCTGTGCTTGACTGGAATGACATCAAGTTCCAAGATGTGATTGGAGAGGGCAACTTTGGCCAGGTTCTGAAGGCACGCATCAAGAAGGATGGGTTACGGATGGATGCTGCCATCAAGAGGATGAAAGGTCAGTGGCTGGAAGACAGCCTTTCTCTGGGGATAGGAAACAGTCCTTTCCTGTTGAAATCTTCCCTTTGTGGCCACATATACATCAAACCAGAAGTTGCCCTCATATCAGATGTGGCCGTGTGTGTGCGCAGATGACAGTGTTGTTTCCTTTAAGGTGAAGCCTGAGGTAGATAGCATCAGGATTTGGATGTGAAGGACAGAAGTGGGAGCCACTCAAACACCAATGTGTTGGTTCCTGGGGATTTGGGAATGTTGGTGTTTTGCCATTTACTCCTCATTTGGGGGGAGGTGTCATTGTTTCTCATAAGGCTCATTCTTAAAATTGAGGGTGTATCAGAATCACCAAGAAGACTTGCTCAAAAACAGACCCATGTCCTGCCCCCACCCCCATCACCCTTATGTGTTCTCAGTTTTTGGTTTAGTAAGTCTGGACCAGGTCAGAGAATTTGCATCTATGTTTCCATTTGAGGCTGATTTTGTGGGTATTCATGCTTTTTGACCATGCAACTGAACAGTGAGAATTGACTTTCAATCTTCCACATGCCATGGTAGGATTATGACACCAGGAACTAAATCAAAATATTATCTCTCATCCATAAGTCTCTTTCTTTTCATTCCCCCACCCCTTTCTCTCTCTCTCTCTCTCTCTCTCTCTCTCTCTCTCTCTCTCTCTCTCTCTCTCTCTCTCTCTCCTTTGAGACAGGGTCTCACTGTGTATTCCAGACTGACCTGGAATTCAGTTTGTAACTAACCTAAAATTCAGGGCAATCCTCCTATCTCCAGAGTATAGGCATGAGCAGTGATATTTTAAGAATAAACACAAACAAACAAACAAACACTTGCTTAATGGCCAGAAATCCTCTTTCTGTTCTGCTTTTATCACAGAACGTTTAGGGAACACTGAAAACAGTAAGGAGGAAAGGGGATTTGGAGTAGAGACTTATGAAATCGGCTTTTATTGGCATCCTGCCTGAACCTGGTTCTCAATTTCATGTACTATGAAAATGTAAAGCCATTTAACTGTGTGCCGTGGCAGAAAATTTCCACAGGTAGAATAATACATTCTAGGGCAGTCACTGAACAATACACTAAATTTTAAGAAATCCCAAGGCATTGACTCTCAGGATCAAAGCTACAGTGAAGGTCCTGTGATAGGAATTGGGCATTGGGCCTGGGTATCCAGTGCATCCATATTACACATGGCCCTGACTCTGATCAGTTGGAACACTCTCTAAGCCTGTTCTAGTATACACTCATCCACCAGCACCCCTATCCCGATCATGCTTCTTTTCAAAAACCAACAACAGCACACTACCCTTTACTCAAAACTGACCAGTCAATTTGAGCATCAACCAGCAGTTTTCTCTCCTGTCCAAACCCGATAGTTCTCCTTCTCACTAAAATGCCACCAAAGAGACAGGACAGAAGAATAGAAAAGCTGCAGCTCAGTTTCCTGATTCTGCAGCAACTCCCAGACTACGTCCTTGGACGTTCTCATCCGGGCCTGATTTTGCTTGGGAGGGGGCATGGGTTAGTTGGTGGATACATTTTTGGTTGGAGTGCTGGTATCTAGCAAGTGAAGGTCGGGGATGTCACTGCACATCCTCCAAGGCTCAAAGCAGCTTCCAGTAACACTTAGCAGACCAGTCCTCTGTGGTGAGGTTGAGTAACACTGCTTTAGGCAGTAGACTTTTCCAAATGACTAATTGCTTCAGCAGTCTTAGGGCCCAAGACAAGACAGGTCCCTTTGGAAAGGTGTAATGAAGCAACATCACAACCCTTGGCTTTCTTTCCAGAATATGCCTCCAAAGATGATCACAGGGACTTCGCTGGAGAACTGGAGGTTCTTTGTAAACTCGGACACCACCCAAACATCATCAATCTCTTGGGAGCATGTGAACACCGAGGTAAGATGCTCCCACCCCTGGCAAATTTTAAAAGATAAAACAGGAACGTTCTGTAACAAAAGGAGGAAAGATAATAATCTTGAGAACATTACTTATTTCAAAGCTACAGTTCCAAGCTGCATATCTATCTGATGCCATTTATTGGACGGGCTGAAGTTAATTATCTTTGTGGAGGGTGGTGCTAAGGCTAGATCATTAGGTATCTGAGATGGTTTAGCTCTTAATGGTCAAGATACCCAGGACTTCTTCTCGCCCTTATCTTACTAACAAAGGGATTAAAAAAGTCCTACCATTACTATAGAAGTGCAGGAAGCCTTTACCATTAGAAAAAGTGGGGTTTTTGGTTCCTCTGAGTTGAATTTTTTGGCTTTGAGTCAATGTCTCACCATAGCCCAGTTTGGCATGGAACTCACTCTGTAACCCAGGCTAACTCTTCCTACACCAAGGAACTGGTGTTCTGAATTTTGAAGGCACTGACACCAGTAACGCACTGTGATGTGAAAGCATGGATACTGCTTAGGTTAAATCATGACATTAAGTTCATATATAACAGTGCTAGTTTTAGCCAGGGCATTTGTATTTCAGTTACGTTGTAGCTTTACAACTGTTTGGTGTTCCCATAGTTTTATACCTAGGAACTAAAATGATTCAAATGTTTGCTACTGTGCTGTATGTAATGAGGTGTGAAGGAAGTCACAGTAAAAAGTCTTTTATGAGTTTACCTCTGCATTAATGCTTTATGGGTTTCTAGTTCCCAGTCTATGCCTCCACAAAATGCCTCATGGAAAAGTTTGCTTCTATAAAACAGAAGGGCTCCATGCTGTACTTATTTATAAACTGGACAACCTTTTGTTGACTTTCTCAGCAAAAAACATCAACAATCAAAAGAGATGACTTCTATTTCCTCGATTTATTAAGCTAAAAATATGGGTGTTTTAAGTAATACATCATCCTATGATCCAATTAGGGTATAATTCTGAAAGCCAGATCACATCCCTTAGATTAAATAATGAGGTAATGACATTTGCCTTTGAGTTATTTCCTGGAAACAATAGTTGGTGTGGGACGGCAGTACATTCAAGGAAAAAAAAAAAGTCCAGGGCTGGAGAGATGGCTCAGGGGTTAAGAGCACTTGCTGCTCTTGCAGAAGGCTTGGCTTTGGTTCCCATGCCCACATGGCAGCTCACAACCTCCTGTAACTCCAGTTCCAGAGAGACTCTGACACCCTCTGCTGGTCTCCATGAATACCTACTCACATATGGTGTACATACATGCACTCAAGCATACACACATACATACATATAAGATTTTTTAAAAAGCCAGACAGCAACTGAAAATGTGTCTTAAAATTTTGTTTTTTATCACATTATCACATAATTGCTTGTATTTTGAGAAAGTGAGAAAGCACATTCATGGCAGATCTTAGATTTCCCTTTCCTTATGATATAATTGGGTTCAGTGTGGGAAGATTTTTCTTTTTTCTTTCTTTCAATTTCTGGCAGGTGGGGTGATAAGAATTTTAATTTCTTAAAATATCTAAGTTCAAATGCATTTGACATTTTAAAATGATGGTTTGGACATGCATGCATGTGTGTACACAAACATCCTTCAAAATTACTATTTTTTTTTTTACTGCTTTTTAACAACAAGTAAAAAAAACTAGGATAAAGCCAACACAACAAGACAGACTTTCTCTAGGAACTCTATTGTTTTATTTTATTCCCCTAAAGTTCAAGTTTTCTGATGTCTTTAAGCAAAATATAACTTGAAAAACTAGATCCCTGCCAGGCAGTTGCCTAAGGAATACTCAGTTACTTAGTGCGGTTTTAGGGCAAAGAGAGGCAAAGGAGAAAGTCATGTGGGGTGGCTCCTTCCTCTCTGGGCATTTCGCCATCGGTCCAATGTGGCTGGAGACACAGACCAGAATAACATCGCTGGCCTATGTTAGCTTCTTGATGAATACTGAATGAAGTTAACTGCACTCTGACAAAGGTGTCCTGTGGAGGAGGATGCTTTGAGTTCCTTGTCCTAGCATTAAGGAGTTGATGTAAGTTCACATTTGTAGCTACAGAGGAGAGGGAAAGAAAGACTGTGAATTCGGGGCTGGTCCCTTAGACAGCTGTGGGTCAGTCTCCCTCATCTCCCTCCTGTTCCTAACATCATTACTAGACATATCTCTTTCAATCAGAATGGAGTTTGTAAGCCCATTCCCAATACCATAGCACGTCTTGAAGATTCTACAGCTGTTCAGCCTGCATCAGATGACTCTCATCCCTTCCCTGCAGGCTACTTGTACCTTGCTATTGAGTATGCCCCACACGGAAACCTGCTGGACTTTCTGCGTAAGAGCCGAGTGCTAGAGACAGACCCTGCTTTTGCCATCGCCAACAGCACAGCTTCCACACTCTCTTCCCAGCAGCTCCTTCATTTCGCTGCAGATGTGGCCAGAGGGATGGACTACTTGAGCCAAAAACAGGTTTGTTCTGAGAACCTTGCTTTGGACCCCTTTCTGTGGGGTTTTCTCTGGAGGACCCTCATGCTTTTAGATAGTTTTCCATTATCCTTTCTCCTTAGGTTCCTTCTCGGTCTCTCTGAGTTAAGAAACCGATACTTTCCATCTGTATAGAAAGAATTCAATTCCCAATACCGACAGGATATTTCCCTAGAAAGTTTAAAACCATGTATTTAGTGAGATGCCCTGATCCTATCATACTGAGGCTTGCCTCTAAATTATGCCCAACAGCAGAGGCTATTGTCTGCATTGCCGTGGAAAGGCCCTGTACTTCCTCCCACCCTGAAATGATTCTCACAAGATGTGAGGAGTCCCTTGACAAATCTGCTGTCTGCGAGCTGTGAAAAGGTGCTTTAAGGGACCTGGAATCTGAAGATCTTTTAAAGGCCTTTTTTTTGTAGTGTCATTTCTTCTAAGTTCTTGCCCCAGAACTTTCTGCTAACAAAATGATGACAAGACCAAGTATTATACTGAAGATACATGACTCTTTGAAATTTTAGTTTATCCACAGGGACCTGGCTGCCAGAAACATTTTAGTTGGTGAGAACTATATAGCCAAAATAGCAGATTTTGGATTGTCACGAGGTCAAGAAGTATATGTGAAAAAGACTATGGTAAGTTCCAAGCACAGAGGGTCTCCCTGTCCCCCTAGAATGCCATTGCTCAGGGTGACTGATGCATCTGCCAGTGTCCTCATGGATATTGTGTGGCCTGGTCAGCATTCTTTTAGATTTGGGTTCCTAACATGATAGTGTTGTCACTGGGGACATATACAGTCAGCCCCCTTAGGAGGTTCTTGGTCTTGTTGATAAAATAACTTTAAAGTGGACCCAGAAGGGAACTCAAGGACAGCTCATTAAAGAGATGGGTGATGTCTGGAGTGTTAGGGTGAAGGTGTTGGAGAAAGGAAATGGAAGAGAAGGAGAGAAAAGGTTGCATCTTTAATTGTGTGCAAGTAGAAGATACACCCCAGAGGACAGTGTGGGCACTCTGAAAAAGAGAGTCAGGTGCCTAGGGCTTTGTTTCTTGTACGTTTTATTGGGAAGGGCAGAAAATTGTCCTCCAGAAGGTGACCCCTACTGTTTATTTGGTTGAGCCTTGCAGTCAGCTCAGAGTGGCTCCGCATGGCTAGACCTGAGGATACAGCTCAGCTGGGGGGTAACAACTGGCTGTATTCACTGTCAACACTTTACCTGAAGCTTTGTGGCCTGTGTAAAGTCCTGGCGTTGGTTAGTCTTTATCTGGCAATGTGTTGCAAGCAGTGGCTGGGCGTTCATTACTCACTGAAAGGCCACTCTGGGGAAGTAAGTTACAAAGAGCCTAGAGATTTCCTACTATGGTGCTTGACATCTGCCTTTCAATTTTTTAAAATCTCTCATCCATAATGATAATTTATTGATCACCAGTCATGTCATGTGTCTCAAAGGAAGCTGATAGAGGCTACCCATGTATCTCCAGGGTACTTTGAAGTAAGTGACGGAAGAAGCCTTTACCCTCTCCTTCCTGCCAATCCCCCCATCACGGTCTCTTCACAAATAAAGAGGCTTCATCATGTGGAGCCAGGCAATTGAATGTTCAAGCCTAGTGGTCAGGATGTTCTGTCTGTATCCAGTCTAAGCCTGATGAGCTTCCAGTCCCCGAGTCTGAACAGCAAACAGGGCTGGGAAACAAAAAACCTAGGAACCCATGAGGGAAGTTTACTGCCACAAGAAGGCCCCCTACAGAAGTATGTAACTTGCAAAGGCCTTGCTATGATTGCCCTCTCAGTAAAAGATATATCCACTCAACCTAAATCAAAGCTAATTAAACCACTCTTTCCTAGTGATGCTCACTCTACCAAACAAAATTTTATATTCAAATACAAGATAAGAATAGAATGGAACCATGCAGTATTCGATGCAGAGAGAAATCAGATTGATTCACCTTTGTTGCCCGCTCAAGAATAACAAGGCCCTGAATGCCATGTCCCTGAACACCCATCACACTGATGACACATTCCCTAGGTGGGCAGAACACCCATAGGTAGGGCAGGGGCAAGCCCTGCCGCGGCCACCATACCTGCCAGTCTTCTCTGGTGGCTTGGGTATGCCTCTCCCAGCTCTGCTGACCATCTCTAGGACTCACTTTCCTGGGACGTCTCCACTTGTCCTGAGAGGGTCTTTTTGAGTCTGTGCCTCTGGCCTCTTAACAAGGCTCAGGGCTCTGCATTAGCCTCAAACACGCTTCCCTTCCTCTTCATAATACATGTTTCAGTTACTAACAGAGGAGAAAATACTCTTTTCTAAAAAGGAAAGCAGCTCCACATAGTCACTTCGACACACTTTTCTTATCAGTGGCTCCATTGCTCATTATTCCTATATCTACATAGTTACAAGTCCAGGTGTCATTTTAAATCTTCTACTCCTGTTTTTGAGGAGCTTGTAAAGTGGAGCCTTACTTGTCCCCACATGGCCCTTTTGTCTTGCTTCAGCTCCCTGAGGACGGGCTTCTGGATCAGCATTTCCCTGGTTCCATCAGATGTTGCCCCATCTAGTGCAATGTTTCTCCTTAAAGACAGGTGTAGCTGGAGAGTTTCTCTCCAGCTCCCGCCAAGCCCTAGCAGTCCTGCAGCCCACTTATAAAATAAACACACAGATGCTTATATTATTTAAACTGTTTGGCCTAATGGCTCAGGCTTCTTGCTATCTAGTTCCTATATCTCAAATTAACCCATATCTATTAGTCTATAAGTTGCCACGTGGCTCATGGCTTACCAGTACGTTACATCTCACTTGTCATGGCGATGGCTTGCAGCGTCTTTCTGACTCCACCTTCCTGTTCCCCCAATTCTCCTCTATGCTAGTCCTGCCTATACTTCCTGCCTGGCTACTGGCCAATCAGCGTTTTATTTATCAATCAATCATAGCAACATATATTTACAGCATACAGGGCATCCCACAGCAGATGGGGAGAGCTGACACTTGCCCACATCGTCCTGCTCCCCAGTTCCTCACACTAGTTCCCAGAATCCTCCTCCTTGCCTCACTCTGGCATTTGGTGGTTTGCAGTCTCAGGTGAGGGCTTGAGAGGGTATGCATTGGGTGATGTTTAGCTTCATGGCCCGAAATTCCATTTGGATGCCTTTCTCAGATCCTCAGCGATAGTACTTCTTGGCTTGACATCTCATAAAGGGCAAAGATGTCTCTCAGAGCTCAGGAGGCAGGGATGCTGCTGGGGTAGAGCAGGCAGGACTAGATTCTGTCTCTCAAAAGTGGAGTAAAGTATGTCGCAGTAACACAGACTGGGAACAAAAGGTAAGGTAATAGCAGGGGAAGGGAGGGTTGGAGAGGAGAAAACCAGGTGCTGGGAAGAGAGATGCCACCAATCGGCAGAATGGCTGCTTTCTCCGGTCCAGTCTAAATCGGTGGTTTGTACCTTACACTCATCAGTGAAACTTTAGAAAAATAAATGCAGAATCCTACCTTCTAGACATCGGCAGCTTTACAGTATCAGGCATGAATTCCCTCCTTTGTCGTAAGACTCAAATCCAATTAAAAGGTAGTTAGTCACCCCCAGAGTCCTGTCACTATCACATCAATTGGACGGCCAGTATTATAGCACATGCAAGTTCCAGACCTGGGTAAGTCCACTGATGTCTTTTCTCCCCTAGCAGCCTTTGAATTACCTTTTAGCACTATGTAAACTAGTCAGCGAAGTTCTAGCTTTATTTCTCCGAGTCCTACAGCTGAGTGTGCTGAGTCTTCAGCAGAAGGGTCTTTTAGTCCAGCTATGGGGACAACCGAGAACAATGGCAGTAGCCAACGTTGTTTTCAGAGTGGCTGGGACTTCCCTGACCAATAACTCATAAGGAGGCATCCCATAGTTGGCACTAAGATTTTCATTTAAGTCTTCTGGGGGGAGCATTGTCCACCCACGCAGGGCTGCTCTGTTCAAACTCCTTTCGAATTATATTTTTTATTTAGTGTTACAACATAGTGTATTCTCATAACAATTTTTATTTTGGTCAATCTGATCCCTTCCCCCCCATCCCCCATCCTTTCTTTTACACCTTACACTCTCAGTTTTTCCTCCCTTCTATTTTCATAATCACATGGGTTCTACTCTCCCCTCCCCATTTGAAGGCCTTTTCCTGTCCCCACTTGCATGTGCCAGTTTTAGCTTCCTGTCCTGTACAGACACTCCAAATTAAACACACAAATCTAAAATTCAAAGCTAGGATCCAGGTGTTTATCTTTCTGGGTCTATTGTTTTTTTCTCAACCCTCATAGTAATTATACTGTTGAAAGCATTACTATGAACCACACAAAGCAATTTGATGTTGCGCTATCATTAATAGACAACAGCCATCATCTCACTGATTTATTATGAGGCCATTTATAATAATAGTTGGTTCAGGGATAACAGTAAGACTTAGCCGGTACTTTCAGGATAAAGTCCCCAGATAAGCACGAATTAGCAACTACAACAGTTCAATTGCACAAGGTACAGGAACTCATGTGTGTGGAAGCACAGAGAAGGCTGAACCAACTCTGAGGGTGGTCATGGAGGGTTTCCTGGAGGAGGCAAGCTCCTGAGTATCATAGAGAATGTTGAGCAGATATTGGATATGAAGATGAACTCCATGAGCTGGAGGACAGGGCTGATACAGAAGTCTAGAGTCAAAGGAGAGCAATAAGACCTTGGGGATTAAATAATACAGCAAGGAAGGGGATTCAAGTTCAAGGTTGGAGGAGGTAGCAGGGATAATGTCTTGAGGCTCCTTGAACTCCAGTCAAAGGTTTTAAAAGTCAGGTAAGGACTTGTGATCTTAGGACATAGATGCTAAAGAACGCAGTTTAAGATAAAGATCCACATACTTAAAGTAGCCATTTAGAACAATCATTCTGTGTAGAGAACAGGCCGATAAAGGGCAAGGTCTATTAGGTAGAGAGCTCACTGAAGAGGATACTATTGCCAGGCAAGGGCTGAATCAAGATGACAGAGACAGCGAAAGTGGACAGAGCCCAAAGAAACCAAACAGAAAACCTGGAAGCACGTACGGAACCTGGGTAGCATGCCAAAGCCTGTGGGGTGGAGAGGAAAGAGAGCACTTGATGTGACTGTGCTTTCCATTCCTGGCTGCGATGCAAGAGTGAGCTGGAGGAGCAGGTGGGAGACGAACCCAGGTTGACATAGAAAGAAGGGGAGTGTGAGCGTGAGGGAGAATGTGGGGTACCTGGGGAGATGGAGAACATTTTGGAACCTGAGCCTAAAATACAGAATCCTCACTTGTGACGAAGGACTGAGAGAGGACTGCACAGTTAGAATCACTCTTGGATGGGAGGAGGTGATCTCTAGAAGAGCAGCCTGGGAGAATGCCTGCAGAGGCAGGTTAAGGAAAATCCTCAAAGCCTTCTGATTTTATAGGTTGATGGGGCACTATTGAAACTTTGGGCATATCACTGGGGGGGAGTAGATCTCTTAACAGTGAGCCATACAATCACTGGGTTGCCTAGGAAGCTCCCAAATCACAGAGAATTTGAGGGAAGTAGGAACAAACCTCCAAAGGTTCACAGTATCCAGGTTATATCTTGTTTTACCCAGCCTGGACACAGTAAGACAACAAATGATCTATTACTTGTGGCCTAAGATATTTCCCTTCCCCATCCAGCAGATGCTTAAGGAAGCCCAGACATTCCACCTCTGGAAACTATCCATTGCCTCTCCTAAAGTGGTTTTCCAATTCAGCCCTTGTCACTTGTCCCCATTTTCCCCTTTCATATTACAGTTACATATTCTCAATTTCTGTGCTTATCCCCTGTTTAAACACCTGTGTGTGTCCCTAAAAGTCACAAGGTGACCAGGTGAATAGCTGAATGACTACCAAATGTGCACATTCACATAGACTGACTCACATCAGACTCCCTAGGATAAGGCTTACCCTATTTGCATGTCTTTGAATCTGAACACATGTCTGTGGGTGGAAATTCACACACAAAGGCTTCATGGGTCTGTTGTGCCTTATGTCTGGAATTCTAAACACAAAGCCCTTCCTGTCTAAGTGATATCTCACTTGGTTCTCTCTAGGGAAGGCTCCCAGTGCGCTGGATGGCAATTGAGTCGCTGAACTATAGTGTCTATACAACCAACAGTGATGTGTAAGTATGTGCCTTACCACTAAGGAGTTTTTCTTAGAAAAGTATATATATTTGGGAGAAGTTCTAAAGAGAAATGGGGACACCCTGTACCCCTGAGAAGGAAATAAACTCAAAGGAAATGAAGCCATAGAGTGGAAGTTTCTAGTGTAAAATCACAGGTGTCAGGTTTGAGGGTATCTTCGCCCATCAAATACAGACTTCAGGCGATGAATTCATGACCTCTAAAGAGAGAAAGGGCATAGGGGATTCCCCATGATTCCATTCCCTGGACCTAAAGCTGCCATAGTAGTAGGGGCCATGTCTTCCTGCAGCCTTCATGACAAGTCATCTTGCCTTGTACACTCTTTGCAGGAGGAGAAAGTGCGGCCATCAGGGTGGGGATGCTTGTCCCAGAGGCCTTACTGAGGTCTGAGGGAGGAGGAGAGTGGCATTCACTGTGTTCTCACTGCGGCCAAGCCCATCACCGGGGTCTCCCCACTTTTGGGAGAATATTCTTAGGGGTTCCATATGTCCAGTAGTTTATAGTGACCATTATAAAACTGTCCAAGTATTAGACAGCAGAGGAAGGACTCAACTTCCATCTACCTGGCATGGAATTCATTGTCTTCCACAGCAGCATCTTGCATTCTCTACTGGGTTAAGAGATTTGGAGAAGTGAGTCACTTTCCCACTGTAGCCCTCTATAGACCTAAGAGTATGCTGTGTGTCAGGCCTCACCCTGGAAAGCATCCTATTAGCATTTCCTCTTTTGATAAAAGGTTTCTTGATAGGTTTTATGGGGCAGAAACCTGAGTGGTCACCCTAGTAGCTGATCATTTGTTTTATTTTGTTCCTCCTGCAGATGGTCCTATGGTGTATTGCTCTGGGAGATTGTTAGCTTAGGTGAGTATTTAATTTACCCATTAGGCAAAACACTGTGCAAAGGGCATGGACCCTCCAGAACTTCCTTCTAGCCTAATTCCACAGGCACCACTTAATTTCTCTAATGCCACCAGGTGAAACCCGCAAATAGAAGTATTTCTGAAGATGAGTACAATTGTCCACACTTCTCTTTCTAAAAGCTATATGTTAGCATCATACTTAATACTAAGGGTCCCATGGTTGTGAGCTTAACTATAAACTGTTTCTGTCTCTGCAGAGATGTCAAAGAGCTGTAACAAGTTACTCTTATAACTTTAGATGGGTTGTTATGCAGCCAGTAAAAATCCCACCCTAAAGGCTATTTAATAGCCTGGAGAAACACATGCCCCAAATCAAACACTTCATGCCATTGGTTTTAGAAATTAATATTTTTAAACTATAAGGTGCTATACTGAAAAGTAATGAGAGGCATTGTAGGATTTCCCTTCACTTGGTTTTATATTCCAAGTTTTTCTACAACAAGTTTATAGCTTTTCTAATTTAAGCTGTACAGTAACTGCTGCTGATAAACTAGGAATTGCACAAATACAAACTTTCAATATGAAAAAGTAAATGTCATTGGTACCTGAGATGTGCTCTGCATAGCAGACTCGGGGAAAAGAAGTGGCCTGTCAGGAATGAAGCCTTGGCGGGTCCCTCCACTGAAGGAGTGGTAGAGCTGTGGTGTGTTCACTGATGTACGTCTAAGCCTGGTGCACAGTGGGGTTATAGAGGGAGGCACATGGAGGGATCACCCTATCTATCTCTTCTTCCTCCTCACTGCTTAGCATTGGGCAGGAAGCACAGCTTTCTGTGCCAGTGGGACTCACATGCCCTCCTTCCTGTGTTCCAGGAGGCACCCCCTACTGTGGCATGACATGTGCAGAACTTTACGAGAAGTTGCCCCAGGGCTACAGGCTGGAGAAGCCCCTGAACTGTGATGATGAAGTGTAAGTCAGGCCTCACTGAGGTTATTTTATCTTTCCCTTTCTCCATGTGACTCTAATGGGGAAGTCATTTGGTACATTAATACACCCACATTGAGATCTTGGATGAAAAGAAAGATTTCTGCTAGTAAGACTACTATGTGATGGGCAATAAGTAACAGTTTTCCCTGCTACTTACCTCTAGGAGAGTTGTTAAGGTACAGGTCTCGACAAGGTTGAAATGAGGAAGGGCAAGGACAGAAGAGTATGAAATACACAAAGTTGTTCAAGAACAAAGGCATGCAGACTTTTTATTCAGGTTGGAGGAGAGATTTCAGAGTCACTCCATTAAGCAGCAACTTGTTCACACTCTTGCTTCTTTTGAGATTATTTTTTACAAAGAAGAACAATTAACATTAGTAAGGCTTCCATTCCAGAACTAGCCAGCAGAAGTCCCTGAGTGACATAATTTCAAGAGTGTTAGGTCATCGGTTGAACAAACAGGTCATTGTTCAGGCTTCTAAGAGAGAAGGAGATGCTAATACTTCCCCTGGTACAAGAGGCATAAATGTAGGTCACTCTGGGCAGACATGGATGGTCAAGGGACTCCAAGAAGATGTGAATAAATTCTGTAAAAACACAGTTAAATGAAAACCCAGGCTATGAAAATGTAATTTTATAAAAAGAGAATCTTTGAAGAAAAGCCAAAATGAAATAAATCCTGAAATGAAAATCTCAGGAATTCAAATAAAAGTTCAGAGGAAAGCCTTGTCAATAGATTGGATCAAGTGGAAAACAGAATAGCAGGTCTTGAAGACAGGGTAGAGAATTGAATCACTTAATCAAAAAACATGTTAAATCTTAAACAAAAACAACTACTGAGGAATAGAGCTCACATAGGACACTGTAAAAAGACCAAATCTACTAAATCATTGGAAGAAGAAACCCAAGTCAAAGGCACAGAAAATATTTTCAACAAAATCAAAGAAGAAAATTCCCCAAATCTAAGAAAAAGATGCCTATCAAGGTGCCAAAGGCATATAGAGCCTCAAATAGGCAGAACTAAAAAGAAAACTCCCCATGTCATATAATAGTCAAAACACTAAGTGCACAGAAAAAAAAGAATATTGAAAGCTGCAAAGGAGAAAGATCCATCCATGTATACAGAAAGGCCCATCAGAATAACAGCTGATATTTCCATGGAGACTATGAAAGCCAGAAAGGCTTGGAATGGTATGTTCTGCAAGTTATGAAAGAGCGCAGTTACCAGCAGAGACTATATCCAAGCAAAACTGTCAGTGAAAATTGAAGGATAAAGGAAAACTTCCATGATAAAAATATCTAAAAATTTTTTGACTAAGCTGTCTCTACAGAGGCTACTAGCAGGGAAGATCAAACACATCCAAGAAGGCACATGGAATAAAAAAATTCCAGAATGTTAAATCAAAAGAGGTATAATAAAACACCACAAAAGCAACAAAATGACAGGAATTAATAAACATTGTTTAATAATAATGATTAATATTTTTAGTATCAATTCCCGTAATAAAAAAACACAGACTACCAGATTCTATTTAAAAACAGGTTCTAGCGCTACTGTGATGGCTCAGATAGTAAAGAAAAGACTCAAACCCAAAGGACAAGAAAACAGACCCATCATTTTGCTGCATTCAAAAAAATCCCTCACTGTCATCAACAATCAGTACCACCTCAGGGTAAAAGGATGACAAAAGCATTTCAAGCAAATGTTAACTAAGAACCAGGAAGGCATAACTATTCTAATATCCAGCAAACTATTCTTAAAGCCAAAATAGTTCTAAGAGAGGGACACTTCATTCTCATTAAAGCAGTGGTTCTCAAGCTTCCTAATGCTATGACCCTCTAATACAGTTCCTCATGTTGTGGTGACCCCTAACCACACAGTTATTTTGTTGCTACTTCATAAGTGTAATTTTGCTACTGTTATGAATCTTGATGTAAATATCTGTGTTTTCTGATGGTCTTAGGCAAGCCCTGTGAAAGGGTTGTTTGACCCCCCCCAAAGGGGTTACAACCTGCAGGTTGAGAATTGACACATTAAAACAATCTACCAAAAGAATGTTACAGTCCTAAACAGATATAAAACAAACAAAAGAAGAGCACCTGAACTCGTAAAAGAAATATGATTAGATCTTAAGACCACTGATGGACCACAACACAGTGACAGTGCGTGATTTCAATACCTGTCATTGATAGACAGGTCATTCAGAAATTCTGAAGACAAAAGACATTGTAAGTTAAAATGGACCCAGTAGATATCTACAGAACACTCCACTCAAACACTAAAGAATACACATTCTTCTCAACAGCCAATAGAACTTTCTGGAAAACCTACCACATATTAGGACATAAAGCAAGTTTCACCAAATACAAGAAAATTGAAATCACATCCTACATTCTATCTGACCACAATGGAATGAAGCTGGATATTAACAGCAATAGAAACAACAGAGAATACACAAATTAAACAACACAATTCTGAATGGTAATTGGGTCAAGGAAGAAATCAAAAAGGAAATTTAAAAAACTTTATAATTGAATGAAAATGAAAACACAACATATCAAAAATCTGTGGGATACAATGAAGGTGGTCAAAAGAGGAAGCTTTATAGCAGTAAGTGCCAACACCAAAAAAGTTTTAGAGATGTCAGATTAATAACTTAACAATGTACCTGAAGGCCTTTTAAAAATAAGAATGAACAACATCTGGAAAGATATAATTAAAATCAGGGCTGAAATCAATAAAATATAAAAGAAAAATGCACCAAGAATCAATGCAAATAAAAAAAACACAAAGAAGCAATGTAATAAAGAGATGGTTCTTTGTAAAGATTATTAAGTTTGACAAACTTTTAGCCAAACTGAGGGGGTGGGAGAGAGGGAGGGAGAGAGAGAGGATCCAAATTAATAAAATTTAGAGATGGAAAGGGAAACATTACAACAGACACTGAGAGAGCCATAAGGACATAGTTTATAAAGTTTACACACACATATTTAAAGTTTACAACTTTCCACCAAACCATAAAATTGAAAAGAAATGAGTGAATTTCTAGACATACACAGACCTTCCAAAGTTAAAACAAGATGAAGTCAATAATTTAGACAGACCTATAACATCCAATGAGACAGAAGGTAGAAAAAGATAGATGGTAGAACAAGAAAAGGATGCTCATTCCCCTTAAGTGGTTCAACTCTTAGCTAGAGCAATTAGACAATTGAAGAAGATAAGGGAGGTATAAATAGAAAAGGAAGAAACCAAAGTATCTTTAGTTCAGATAATGTGGCTTTATACATGTGCTGGATAGTTTAGCTTGTGTTGAGTTGACATAAGTCACTGAGAGGAGGTAAACTAAATTTTAAAAATGCCTCTATAAGATCAGGCTATAGGCAACCCTGTAGGGCATTTTTTTCAAATAGTGATTGATAGGGAGGCCACAGCCCATTGTGAGTAGTCCCATATCTAGTTAGTCCTAGGTTCTATAAGAAAATAGGCTGAACAAGCCATGGGGAACAAGCCAGTAAGCAGCACCCCTCCATGGCCTCTGTACCAGCTCCTGCCTCCAGGATCCTGTCCTCACTACTTTTAATGATGAACTGTTATTTGGAACTGTGAAAGGAATAGACCCTTTCTTCCTCAAGTTGCTTTTGGCCATACTGATCCATTGCAGCAATAGAAGCTATAAGACAATACATAAAAGACCCTAGAGAATACACCAAAAAAACCTCCTACAGTGGAAAATACATTTGAATTTATAGGCACAGGAAAGGACTTTCTAAGCAAGACCCCAGTAATGCAGGCATTAAGATTAACAACAGATAATTGAAACGTCATAGAGCTAAAAATCTTCTGTACAGAAAAGGACACTATCATTTTAGTGAGGAGCCAGCCTAAAGAATGAAAAAAAAAATCTTTATCAGCTACACATCTGACAGAGGAGCTTCTAAAAGATCTAAAGAAATAAGCACCAAGAATACAAACAACTCAATTAAAAACTGGAGCATGGATCCAAACAGAACATTCTCAAAAGATGAAACACAAATGACTGAGAAATATTTTTTTAACAACATCGTTGAACATCAACATTTTTTTATCAATATCATTGGACATCAGGAAAATGAAAATAAAAGTTACTATGAGATTTCATCTTATTATAGTCATAGTGTTTTTGATCTTAGCCAAATGATGACAAATGCTGGTGTGGATATGGGCAAAGCAGGGCACTTATTCACTGCTGGTAGGAGTGAAAACTGGGACAGCCACTACAGAAATCAGTTTGAAGGTTACTAAGAGAGCTAAACATTGATATACCTCATGATCCAGCTATACCACATTTGGTATATAACCTAAAGACTTTATATCCTGCTATAGAGATACTTGCTCATTCATGTTCATTGCTGCTCTATTCACATACATTGGAAACAGCATATAGATTTCCATAAACTGATCAATTTATAATAAAAATGTACATTTATACAATGGAATATTAACCAGCTGTAAAGAAAAATGAAGTCATGAAAATTCCCATTAAATGGATATAACTGAAAACAATCATTCTGAGTGAGGTAACCCAAACCCAGAAAGGCAAATGTCCCATGTTTTCTCTCATTTGTGGCTATTAGCTTTGAGTATTTAGATATGTGTTTTTCATTTGGAGTACCCACAGAGGTCAGAAAATTAGCTAGGAGGTGTGGGGGGATGAAGGCTTCAAGAGAGGGAAGATAAAACTTTCAAGAGAAAGAAGATAGGACACAGATATAAAGGGGGACTCGGAATAATGGAATTGGAAAAGTTAAATGGGGTGGAGGATAGGAGGGCAGGAATACAGGCAGGAAAACTAATACTAAAGACCCTCTAAAAAGTCATATGAAAAACTACTAGTATAGAAGTTTCCTAAAGTATAAACATAGACATATATACAAAGTGTTTAAATGGAGTCACCCTAAAATGCCAGTGAGGTCCCATAAACACCCCAAACAATACAGGCTATAGCCATTGTGCTTGGTTACCCTTCAGGACTTGATGAATACCATATTCCTGAAGATATTAGATAATTTAGTCATGGAACACAGGGAAATCAAGCTGGTATTGACCTACAAGCTTTATCCCTAACAGCTAGCTTTCATAGTGATGAAATATGCTATGTACACTGCAAGAAAAGCAGTCACCAATCTTATCCATCTGTGGGCCCTGCAAGCTACAACAATAACTAGTCCACAAGACATGCCCACTGGTGCAAGAGTGGCATGAATGTCATAGTCGTAACCAACCACCTTATGCTTAGATTCAAGGCCCACTCCATAAGATGGAGCCCGCATGTAAAACCATTACTGGGGGAAAGACCTGTGGCTAGACAGCTCATAGGCCCTAGGAGAGAACTTACTACTATTACTCTGCTAAAGGAACATGGTATTAAACCAGCTCCTAATAACTCATTGTTAAACCCATTGATTAGTGCATCTCTCAAACATCATTAGAGAAGTTTCTTTTTTTCTCCCAGTAGGTGGTGATTAACACAGAGACCCACAACTGGTCAAGGTTCAAAGAATAAGACTATGGAGTGCTCAGTCCTAAATGAGATATTTATATCATGCCCTCTCCTCCTAAGTCTTGGGGACCATTACGGAAAAGTGGGCAAAAGATTCTAAGAACCAGAGGTAGTGGATGACTACAAAAAAGCAGTTATTTTGGACACAACAAGGCCATTGCATATGAACTCACAGCAGTTGTGACAGTATGTATAAGACTAGTAAAGGCTCAAGCTTGACAAAATGCCAGCATTGAGGGCAGAGGTGGTCATGAAGGTCCACGTCGAGCTGAAGAGCTGTTGATAATAGATAGCTTCCAGGAGAGGTAGAGTTTTCTTTCAGGGTATGACTCCTGGTAAGTTGAACACACTCCAGTGAATGGACATACACCCAAGAGAAAATAGGCAGCAATCATTGCCTTGGTGGATTTAAAAGAAAATAAGGACACTAAGTTGGGTAGGTATGGAATGGGGAATAGATCTTGGAGGAGCTGAAGGGGTGAGTATGATAAAAATACAATATATGAAATTCTGAAAAGAATTAATTCAAGTATACATATTTAAACATGCATATATAATTATATTTAACTATATTACACATAACTATATAATATATTCATTGTATAATCATATAATTATATTATATATTCATATTTAATTATACATGTATGTATTATTTCTCATTGTTCTGAAGGCTGAGACATTCAAGATCAAAATGCCAGCAGAGTTGGTGTCTGGTGTCTGTGAACTCTTTCCTGGTTCCTAGAATGGCTGTCAATAATTTGTCCATTGTACCTAGTAAAGATGCCACTTGCTTTTGGCAGGACTTCTAAAAGTCCTGCCTCTGGGAGGTACATATTGGCATTTCATAATAGAAAGGTAGTATTCCAAAAGCAGTGCTGCTTCAGACAGGTAATTCAGTTCCTTCTGCATGGCTACAATAGCTGAGGTCAAGGGCCTGAAAGACTGGCAGCTGGCCTCTACTATATCCACAGATGAAGAAAGGGGAAACGGGTTTGGAGGAAGAGAGGAAGACACCGTGGAAATGTCCTAGGTAGAGTACATGTATCTTATGCCTCACAGCGTCATCACCATGCAGCCCCCAGTGACTAATTTTCTTTTTTTCCCTGCCCCATGCTAAGGCATAGCCAGGCCTGAAGCACAGTCAGAGTTAATCTTATCTTTTCACTCTTTGTGTTCAAAGGTATGATCTCATGAGACAGTGCTGGAGGGAGAAGCCTTATGAGAGACCATCATTTGCCCAGATACTGGTGTCCTTAAACAGGATGTTAGAAGAACGAAAGGTGAGCACAGTTTGATGCAGAGGCTCTTTCCCTGGAATTTGTGATATGCCCGAGGTGATCATTAAAAAGTCATTGAAACAACTCAACAAGCTATTCTAAGAATAGCCTTAGGTATTACACCATAACAGACATGCTCCCTAATTTTGAGGAGATAGAATTTAGGGGGAAATAAGATTTCTCTGTAAGATATAGTCACTCACACATACACTAAAATACAACCTGCAAATAGTCTATTAGAGCTGGAAGGAATCTCATTCATGTAGTCTGGCCCTTTAATTTTTTCGATGCAGAAATGAAGAGGTTAAGTGACTTGGCCAAGAATAAAAAGACAACGAAGTCTGGCCTATAGTTTACTGTTTGGAGGGTAAGAAAGTCTATTGAAGCATTTAAAAAGGTAATTGCCTGTACCATTTTAGGGGTCCACAGGCAAATCTAAGTCAGCAGGTGAGGTGAAGAATAAATATAGTCAGTGGAAAAGGAGCCTACACCAGCTGACCTTTCCAGGAGAGGTCAATAAGATACTAACGATGCTCAGAAACTAAGGCTAGAGGGAGCAGGGAATCTTATTTAGAAGCCACAGGATGCATTTTAGAAAAAAAAATCATCAAATACACAGAGGGATTGAGAACAGAAGGTGTCCCCCCACCGGCTATGAAAGATAAACCAAAGTCAGGGCACTGGTCTACCTGCCCCGGCAGAGGCAGAAGCGGTGCAGCATGGACCTGATCCTCTCCTGTTCTTTCAGACGTATGTGAATACCACACTTTATGAGAAGTTTACCTATGCGGGGATCGACTGCTCTGCTGAAGAAGCAGCCTAGAGCGGAGCTCTTCATCTTCAAGTGCCGTTTGCCCTTCCCTGGCACGAGAGCGCCTTGATACTGTCATGACCCTCTGCCAGGAGATGTGATATAGAAGTGTACATATCGTGCTGTGTGTTTGGGACCCTCAGTGGAAAGCCTGTGTGGATCTGTAGTGTGTTCTGACTCTAACATGACTGTATATACTGCTCGGAGGAAGAATGTGCTGAGATCAGGATGCCTGTTTGTGCTTTCATATAATATATTTTTCTAAAAACACGGATTGCACAAGAAGGTATGAGTGCAAATACTGTAATGCAGGGTTTGTTATTGTCCTAGGTGTTTTTGATATTTACCTTTATAATTGAATGCTATAAAAATGTTTTGCTGTGTACACATAAAATACTGTTAAAAAGTCTAACAATTCCCTTGACAGCCCAGAAAGAAAAGCGAGGGGAATTTATGAATTATATCAGAATGTGGGTTACTACCCAAGAGGCTGAAAAGTGGGTCTCTCAATTTTACCCCTCACCTACAGAAGCCAGCTCACTTGGTCATGTGACAGTTTGTCCTGTGTTTTTACACACACGTCGTTCCAAAATGTTAACATCTAAAAGCTTTCTTAGGAGACTAAGAACCTTTAGAGAGATATAAGTAAGGTCAATAAACAAATCGGTGGGACGTTACTTTTAATCTCTTTAGTAATCTGTTGTATATTCTAAGAAGTAAAACTAGGAATTTAGGAGTGATGTGTGGCATTTGTGACATGGAGTTACTATCCCCACATGTATCGCACACTGTCGTATCCCTACATGTATTGCACATTGTAAAGGTCTGTAGTTTTGATCATTTGTGAATTTACTGTTGGTGCAGTAGCCACCAACTGCATTGGTTCCTCTTGTAGGTGAATAAATGTCTCATCCACCCACATCCTGTCCAGTAGTGTATCTCATAGGAATTGGAAGTATGTTTTTAGAAGATGTCTTAAGAGTCATGGAGTTAGTGAGTGTATGACCCAGGGCAGCAGTGCAAAGCCCACAAGGCCAGTAAGCTCTACACCTCTACCTCTTAGGTCATTGTCTTGCCTTAGGGGAGTAGACATCCAATTGTTTCACATTGCTATATTTTTATTTCCACCTTCCTACCCTTTTTTTTTTGTTTTGTTTTTTGTCTTTTTTTTTTTTTTTTTTTTTTTTTTTGAGACAGGGTTTCTCTGTGTAATAGCCTTGGCTGTCCTGGAACTCACTCTGTAGACCAGGCTGGCCACGAACTCACAGAGATCTGCCTGCCTCTGCCTTCCAAGTGCTGGGATTAAAGGCATGCACCACCACTGCCTGGCCTTCCTACCTTCTGGATCTCAGAAATGAACAGGCTACTCACTGTATCCCAAATACATCTGTTTTCAAACAGCATATTCAAAGCATGGGAGCAAGGCTGCCATCAGCATATTGTTTACTTAGCTAAATGGAAACTTGAATTTAAAAAAATGTGAGAACACCAAGATGGTGAAGTAGGTGCTCAGCCTTCATCCCTCTACAGAAACACAAACACAGACAGCTGCTGATGAACCAAAAGGAGGCCAGAGAAGAATCAAGGACACATTAAAGAACCTGCAGCAGCATAATGGAGAAAAGCCCAGCATATCCCCATGAAGAGCATTTCAGATCACTGGCATGGACAGAAGATACAATTCATAGCAGCCATGTGGCAGGAACCACTCTAGACCCCAGCAACCAATTCTGTGTAAAATACCAGCATGTCTTGCCACCAAGAGAAAGGAAGAAAGAAAGGAGAGCAGGCAACTGATTGATTTTTTTTTAGCACTGTAGAGAAAGGTACTCTTAACTCTCTCAACCCTAGACCTTCACCTGCTTTCCGGGCAAACCAGATACATAAAGTCTGCAAAAGGTGTCTCTTCCACTAAATGATGACATCATAAGCAATAAGAAACATGAAAAAAACAAGGAAACAAAACATTAATAAAGGAACACAATTTCCTTGTAGCTCATTACAAAGAAATATATGTATTCCCTAGCAGAGAATTCAAAATGATACTTTAAGGAATATCTTCAAATTTTGAGAAAACATGGAAAAACAATGCAAAATTGGAAAGCAGAAATGTAGGATTTAAACATATACATATATGTGTCTCACTCTGGAATCAAAATATACAATGAATGAACTGTGAATTCAAAGAGAGGACACCACCAGCAGAATAGTTTCATCGGAAGGAGTCTGATTTTAAAATACATTATTTAAAAATATACAATCAGAAGTCAAGAGAATGAAAAGAAACTAAGGAAACGTCAGGGTCTTCCCTCTCATCCTGCACCCCCTGGGGACACCACAGATCCTCCTGGGCCTTCCTCTATCACCTCTTCCAGCTGGAGCAGCTGCCAACAGTGAGAGGAACTAAATTTGGGACCAGCCCGTCACTGAAGCCTGGGAATCGGAAGGCAATCTTCATTTTCCTTCCCTCTCCTTCCTGTCCTCCAATTCCAACTTCCCAGCCTGATCCCCAGCTCTGTAGCAGACCACCTGCAGGGGCTTGCCCCCCCCCCCCCCCCATCTCTGCCTCCACTCCCTGGGGACTCCACCAACCTTCCTGGCAGACTTAGCTTTCCTGCTTCCTGTGGATCCATTCATCCCCTCCCCCTTCTACCTCATCCTCATCCCTTCATGTCAGCCCCCAATAACTACAAGTACATTCTACCCAGGACGCCCAGTGGCCAAACCTAGGAGAGACTGAGAAGTACTCCTGACCAGGCAACCCACAGCCACCAAACATTCCTAAGATCCAGAGATGGCAACAGAAACCAAGGAATGGAGCACCCACTCAACAAAGACAAGACCTAGAATTGCAATCACCCCAGATCAGGATGCCTAGACACCAGAATAAAAACACAATTAAAAACAATCAGACCCGTTGGCGGAGGTGTGCGTTAGCCAGCTCTGAAGTTGTGAGTGTGGGAGAGCTGTCCCCACTATTCTCTGTCATATGATGATATGATATGACTCGGGGAGAGATGCTTCGAAGCCCTTACCCCTCGCCCCTCACCACTTGTGACAGACAAAGAAGATGACCCTCCTCCTCACCAGCTGCAGCATTCAGGAAAGTGGACCCTGTTGGCAGAGGCCCAGGTGAGTTGGCCCCCGAGGCTGTGAGAGTGAGCTAGCTGGCCACGCCTCCCTCATCTGCCATTGTTGGTAAGGACAAGGGAAACAAGCCCTCCTCTGTAGTCCTTGCCACCTGTGGAGGGCAAGGGAGCTGACCCTCCTCCTTACCAGCTACAGCACTCGGGAAAGTAGACCCTGCCCCTCGCCTGGGCAGCACAATAGAGCTGACCCTATTGATGGGGGTGCAGGTGAACCCGCCTGAGAACATGAGCATGAGAGATCTGGCCCCGCCCCTCATCTGCCATATGGTGGTGTGGGCAGGGAAGAAATGCTTTCCCAGGCCCTGCCCCTGGCCACCTGTGGCGGGTGGGAGAGCTGGCCCTGAAGTCACAAGAGTGGGAGAGCTGTTCCTGCCCCTCATCACTCAGGAGAGTGGCCCCTACACTTTGCCTGGGCAATACATTAGAGCTGGCCCTGAAGGTGTAGGTGTGGGAGAGCTGAACCTGAGGGTCTGAAAGCAGGAAAAAAAAGAACAAGTAACACATAAAAGCAGACCCGTTAGAATTACACCTGACTTCTCAATGGAGGCTCTAAAAGCTGGAAGGGCCTGGACACACATTCTAGAAACTCTAAGAGCACAGATGCCAGCCCAGACTACTATATGCAACAATACTTTGAATCATAATTGATGGAAAAAGAAAAACATTTCATAATATAAAGCCAAATTTAAGCAGCGTCTATCTACCAGTCAAGCTCTGAAGAAGGCATTGGAAGGAAAACTTGAATCTGAAGAGGTTAACCACACCTAAGACAACACAAGGAATGAATAATCCCGGGACTAGCACATCAAAAGGTCCAGGAGGTGGGAAGACCCACACTACAACAAAATAACAGGAATCAACAGACATTGCTCATCAATGATTCTCAACATCAATGGTCTCAATTTCCAAGTAAAAGGAGACTAACAAAATAAATTCTAAAACAGGATCCATCCTTCTGCTACATCCAGGAAATACACCTTAACATCAAGGATAGACATCATCTCAGGGTTAAAAGATGGAAAAAGAGAGTCTAAGCAAATGGACCAAGGACACAAACCAATGTAGCCATTTTCATATCTGAAAAAAATGACTTCAAACCAAAACTAATCAAAAGAGATAGGGAAGGATACTACATGCTCAAAGGGAAAAAAAATCCACAAAAAAGATACTGCAATTCTAAACTCTTATGCACCAACACAAGGGTACCCAAATTCATAAAAGAAACGTTACCACAGCTGAAATAACATTTACCCTCATACAATGGTAGTGGTGACTTCAATACCCCACTCTTGCCAAGAGACAGTTGTCATCCTGACAAAAAACTAAACAGAGAAATGATGGAGATAAATGACATTAAAAAACAAACGAACTAACAAATAGACCTAGCCTATAATTACAGAACATTTCACCCAACCACAAAAGAATACAACTTCTTCCCAGCAGCTCATAGAACTTTCTCCACAATTTACCACATACTCAGATACAAAACAAGTCTCAACAGATACAAGAGAATTAAAATAACACCCTATGTTCTATCTGACCACCATGGACTAAAGCTCGATATAAAATAAAACAGAAAGTTTACAAACTCATGGAAACTGAACAACTCACTACTGAGTGAAAAACGGGTCAAAACAGAAATTAAGAAATAAAACCTTTTTAGAATTGAATGAAAATGGAAGTACAACATATCCAAACTGTGGGACACAAGGAAGGTGGTTTTAGGAGGCAATTTGATACTACTAAGTGCCTAAATACAATTCAAGAGCTCTTGTATTGGTAACATAACAGCACACACCTGAAAGGTCTAGAACAAAGAGAAAAAATAACACCTCAAATGAGTAGACAATATGAAACAGTCAAATGCAGGGCTTAAATAAATAAAACAGAAACAACAACAATAACAAAACAATACAAAAAAATCAATGAAACAAAGAGTTGATTCTTTGTCAAAATCAATAAGATTGACAAGCCCTTAGAGAAATAAACTAAACAGTGGAGAGAGAAGATCAAAATTAGAGAAGAAAAGCAGGGGGCGGGGATGTGGAGTAACAGACACTGAGGAAATTCAAAGAATCCTAAGGACATACTTTAAAAATCTGTACTTCACTAAACTATAATACCTAAAATAAATGGATAAGTTTCTTGGTATATACTACCTGCAAAAGTTAAATTAAGACCAGATAGGCAATTTAAACAGACATATAACTAGATGGCTTGGCATAATATAAAGAGGAAATGAAGTCAGCATATTGAAAAAGACAACTGCAATCCCATGTCCACTGTAGCATTGTTCACAATGGCCATGATATGGAACAAACTTAAGTGTTGACCAATGGATAAATGGCTAAAAAATATGTGGTATATCTGCATCTTGAGATACTATTCAGCTTCTTACAAGAAGGTGCTGTGGGATGGTCTGTATGTCAAATGTGTTGCTGATTGGTCAATGAATAAATCACTGATTGGCAGTGGCCAGGCAGGAAGTATAGGCGGGACTAACAGAGAGGAGACTAGAGAGAGAACAGGAAGCTGAAAAAGGGAGACACTGCCAGCCGCCATCAGGATAAGGAAGATGTAAAGTACCGGTAAGCCACAAGCCACGTGGCAAGGTATAGATTAATAGAAATGGATTAATTTAAGCTGTAAGAACAGTTAGCAAGAAGCCTGCCACGGCCATACAGTTTGAAACCAATATAAGTCTCTGTGTTTATTTGATCGGGTTTAAGCGGCTTGGGACTGGCGGGTGAGAGAGATTTGTCCTGACTGTGG